AATTTGGTCCTAATGCAAGACTAAAGAATGGTTAATTAGAGAGTTTAACTAATATTGGAAGGGAAGTGAATTAGGGAACTGAATTAGTCTCAAACTTATATAAGACTAATGAGAAAGCAAGGTGTGATTGTGCAGAATTTTTTTGCATGAGTTCCAGCATACTAAGTCAATATTTAAGGCTTTTGAGAGAGTTAATAAGACCTTAGAGCAAAGCCAATTAGGGGATTAACTAGAAAGGAGATTAGCCTAGAGACAAGAAATGGTTAGAAGTCCAATTTAGTGTCCAACTAAGTGAAACACATTAAAGAACTACGATGCTTGAGTGCAGAATGTTTTCTTGCAAAGATTTTCAGCAACCAAAATGAGTTTTCGGAGGCTTATAAGGAATCAAATAAGGTCTGAAATCAAGATTAATTAGAAGTTTAGAAATAGACTAAGGAAATTCCATAAGAAAAGGGAAGAAAATAATTCAAATTGGCTCAAACTTTTGACAACATCAAGTAATATAGTATAGAATTTTCTGCAAGAAAATTTTCAGCACTTAAGTGGTTTTTGTTTGAGACTTATAGGAGGCTAATTGAAACCCTAAATTAAGGCTAATGAACATCTTAGAGAGTGATCAAGATAATTTTAGAGAAAGAGGGAAGGAAATAGTTCAATTTAGCTAAAATCCTACTAAAAACTTAGTCAAGTGTAATGTAAATCATGAGTATCACCTTAAAAAAAAAAAAAAAAACAAAACTTAGAAATAATTAAAGCAACTTTAGGAGATTCCATATACCTCAAAAGTGCATGAAGTGGGCATAAACTTTCTCTCTCTTCTCTTAAAGCTCTCTTCTTCCTCACCCTCTCGATCTCCTAACTCTCTCTTAACTCTCGGGATGAAAGGGATGATAAACATTGAGAAGTCTGGCTCCTTTTTATAGAACTTTGGAGCCAAGCAGATTAATCCTAAGCTATCCAGATCTTCGACTAACAAACCTAACCGATGAGTATCAATCCTTAGACACCTTGATCCTATCTCGTATTTAGTCAGCTTCCTTCTCTAGGTATAGACACCTTGCGAAGTTCATATCTCTTTTGGAAATAAGCTAAATTTGTTGCAAATCTACTCCAATTGTCATCTATTTCTGAGATCTTTACTTCACCTAAGCCTCTTTTCAATAGATTGAACCAAAGCCACCTTGCATAGAACACTAAGTAGCCCATTGGGCTGCTCCATCTTCATACAAGTTCTCCAACCTCAACCAAGCCTCGCTATCCTTCAATCGAACCTCACTGGCGTCGAACACCTCCCTTGTGCTAATCAAACCTCCCAAGACTACCATGTTCCTCCTTGTGAAAAGTCAATGATTTAAGACTTTTGAGAGAGTTAATAAGACCTTAGAGCAAAGCCAATTAGGGGATTAACTAGAAAGGAGATTAGCCTAGAGACAAGAAATGGTTAGAAGTCCAATTTAGTGTCCAACTAAGTGAAACACATTAAAGAACTACGATGCTTGAGTGCAGAATGTTTTCTTGCAAAGATTTTCAGCAACCAAAATGAGTTTTCGGAGGCTTATAAGGAATCAAATAAGGTCTGAAATCAAGATTAATTAGAAGTTTAGAAATAGACTAAGGAAATTCCATAAGAAAAGGGAAGAAAATAATTCAAATTGGCTCAAACTTTTGACAACATCAAGTAATATAGTATAGAATTTTCTGCAAGAAAATTTTCAGCACTTAAGTGGTTTTTGTTTGAGACTTATAGGAGGCTAATTGAAACCCTAAATTAAGGCTAATGAACATCTTAGAGAGTGATCAAGATAATTTTAAGAGAAGAGGGAAGGAAATAGTTCAATTTAGCTAAAATCCTACTAAAAACTTAGTCAAGTGTAATGTAAATCATGAGTATCACCTTAAAAAAAAAAAAAAACAAAACTTAGAAATAATTAAAGCAACTTTAGGAGATTCCATATACCTCAAAAGTGCATGAAGTGGGGCATAAACTTTCTCTCTCTTCTCTTAAAGCTCTCTTCTTCTCTCACCTCTCGATCTCCTAACTCTCTCTTAACTCTCAGGATGAAAGGGATGATAAACATTGAGAAGTCTGGCTCCTTTTATAGAACTTTGGAGCCAAGCAGATCAATCCTAAGCTATCCAGATCTTCGACTAACAAACCTAACCGATGAGTATCAATCCTTAGACACCTTGATCCTATCTCGTATTTAGTCAGCTTCCTTCTCTAGGTATAGACACCTTGCGAAGTTCATATCTCTTTTGGAAATAAGCTTAAATTTGTTGCAAATCTACTCCAATTGTCATCTATTTCTGAGATCTTTACTTCACCTAAGCCTCTTTTCAATAGATTGAACCAAAGCCACCTTGCATAGAACACTAAGTAGCCCATTGGGCTGCTCCATCTTCATACAAGTTCTCCAACCTCAACCAGGCCTCGCTATCCTTCAATCGAACCTCACTGGCGTCGAACACCTCCCTTGTGCTAATCAAACCTCCCAAGACTACCATGTTCCTCCTTGTGAAGCTTTTGGAGTGTTTTGCACAATTGACCTAGCTACTCGACCCAGATACCTCATTCCTTGCCTCGATCCGCCTATTTGCTAACTAGGTTCAGTCCACCTAGGTTGGCCTACCAAGCTGACCCAGGCCTAGTGGTCCAAGCCTAGCCCGGTTGCATTTGGATTGGCCCACCAACCCACTAGCTTGCTTACTAGCCTGGTCCAATCCTTCACTCGACTCCATTTACACCCAATTTGTCCCCATTTGGCCTTTGAATTTAGCTCGCTTAGCCTAGCCCAATTAGCCCAGTCTAACTTGGTCTAATCCAAACTTTATCCAACCTAATTCTTTTGACCCACTCCTTTGACCCTTTTGAGTTGAGCCTATTCAGTCTAAAAGGATTAACAAGTTCTTTGAAAGGTTGTTGCCTTTGTGCATATTCATGATGAAGACCATAATGTATACACCCAAGAAAGAAAAAATTAAGGGCATAATAGTATTTTTGAACTAAAAGATTCTCTATCATCAAATTATTCACAAGTTTTATTTTAAACACTTGTTTTACACTTCAATACTTTTTTATTTTTGAACTAAAATCTTCTCCATTATCAAATTACACGCAAGTTTTATTTCAAATACTTGTGTTACACTTTTCAGCACTTTTTTATGTGTTTTGTAAATGTATTAAGCATTTACTTTCAATCCACTTTTAACAATTTCTATTTTAATCTCCAATTTCTAAAAGAATTTGCAAAACTCCACCTAAATGACAGGTGTTGAAAATTTGGGTTGGATCAGGTTCACTTGTGACGAGTCAGCTCAACCTGCCAAATTTAAATTTGAATTAATAGTTCTAACTCCTGATAGCTCATGGTAACTGCTGCTAAGCAGTTAAGGCATTTAGGTTTAAACCAAAACTAACGTAGAGTGACTTTTGAGTCTATATATCTCTCTACTCTCCCAAGGCAGATACATCAAATGAATTTAATTTGGGAGGCAAATACATCAAATACATTTAATTTGTGAATTTAAGTGTTGATTTGTATAATTATCTTTCAAGTAAAAAAAAAAAGAAAGGAAAAGATATTTTTTCTGTTGCAATTCGAGGTCTCGAATTTAAGGAGATAGGAGTTGTACAACTGGAGTCACAGACGTCTGAGATGGAATAGTGTGGGTAAACTGCGATTGAAAGAACACCTTGCACTAGGCGCCTAAAATAATTTTGACGCATGAAGGGACCTAAAGCTCCTCAGAGGGCTAGCTGCATCGACCATCATGGTTAGCTTGCCTCCCTAAGGAAACTTTGTCATGGGAAATTGCCCCAGTCAATTTTTAAAACGAAGGACGTTATTTATTCAAACCCCTACAATTGCTCTCATTAATTTTAGGAGCTCCCTCCGTAAAACTACAAGTTTTCAATTTTTACACCAATTCTTAAGGACTTATCTCCATAAATAATGAAAGTTCTAAATCTTTTTGGTCATTTGATGGCAGAAACATAATGCTACATGAACACGTTTAAAGTTAAAAAAAAAAAAAAAAAGAATTTCTATATTGGCTCCATTTTTTTCCTGGATATAACGTAGAGAATTTGGTGGTTTGGGAGGTCATTTGTTATTTATTAAACAAGTTTCTGAGGATTAATGTATGATAAGTAGTAGCAGTACATATGGTAACCCATGGAGAAATTAAGAAAAAGATCAGTCAAAAAGTTCCCAGTGGCAGTGAGCTGTGGTGGTCGGAGGAGTTGGATCAAAGATCTCCCATTTGGTTGTCACGACGACTGGCTTTATTCTTGCATTCGATACTTTTAGAGCATCCAATGTCTCAACAATACTTCTGTACTCTCCTGCCCTGCAAAATCAACTGGGTTACTCCTCCCTTCTCTCTATTATTAGATTAAATCCAACTATTTCAGCAAAAATAACTCCCCCTCCTAAGATTTCATTGAGAAGAAGGGATTATTTTGTCATCTTTTTAAAGGCTTTTAAGAGAGGGCTCTTGGTTTAGAATCAAGATGATGGAAATACCCATTTAACAGAAATGAAACTATAAAAATGCCACCATCTATAAAATTCTAGAGATGGTTCAAAGAAGATCAATAATTCTATAACATAGCGGGTGAGTCCAATTATGAGCTCGTCTGCCTTTCGTCAGATGGTGTAGAGGTCAGACAGCCTCCTAAAAAGTGGCGGGAAAGGGCATAAAGGTTGGCATGGGTAGAAGGGCATTTTGGGAACAAAAATATGCTGTCAACTGATGGGAGCTTAGAAGCCAAGATCACCGCAGGGGTTCAGGGGCATAACGGTTAATTTACAGACTCAATAGGTGTAAAAATTTCTGTCGTAAAAATTCGGGTTGCCGGCGTAAAAAACCAATGTAAAATCATGCACGTATCTGGCCTGATCCGAGATACCAGCCTATTACTTTATTTTCTGGCCTAAAGTCGTTGAGAAATATGAAAACAAAGACATGCATTAAGGAGTTGGGGGTTATTTAAATTAGCAAAAATTGGATTCCTGAACAATGCATGCAATTAATTTCTGGTTTAAATTTATTGTCGTATTTTTTTTAGAAAAGGTGAAAATAAAAAAATAAATTATTACCTGCAGATTCTTCTGAGCAAAAGCATCCCCTTCTGCAGAAATGCTGTCGAGCTTTACAGCTTGCCTCATCAACATCTCAATCAATGTAGTGATCTGAACCTCTGCTACCTTTTTTCCATTTCCAATTGATTTCTCTATTGTCGTGACCTGCACAGTAATATTATTAATTAACTAAATTTACAGGAAATATTATTAATTGGGTGATTGACTAATCACTAGCATTAATAATTTATTTATTTATTTTAGGTTTGGGAGTTTATCCATCCAACCTATTTACATATTCTCAGATTGAAAGGCCAAAAACTTGTTTGGATGAGAAGAATTGAAGTGAGAAGTGAGAAGTGAGAACATCTTTCCAAATAAATGCAAAAAGATTTCTATTTTTATTTTGTTTTATGAAAGGGATGAATAGCTGATTAATTAGTTATATTTTAAATTTTAAAAAATTTATAGGACATAATCTTATATTTTAAAGAAGTATTAAATTTTAAAGATAATTAAAAAATGTTGAAATTATAAAAGTTGAACATATTTATAAATTTTATTAAAAAGTAGACAAAATTGATAAATAGATATTCAATAAAAATTATAAAAAGTATTTATTATATTAAAATATCTAAATTATCAACTACTCATTTAAGAATGAATAAAATTTTTAGAGTGACTGAATCGGGTAAAGATAAATTAAGATTATAATTAAAATATTAGAATTTATTTACATAATAAAAATTTAAATTATTTGTAGTTATGATTTTAAGTACACAAGCTGAGGTGCGAGTTGTTTCACTTTTCTGACTATTTTGAAATTTAGATAACACAGTTCAAAAATAGAAATTTAAACAAATGAAAATAATTTTTTAATTAAAAATTAAAAATCGCTTTAAAAAGATCCATCTCCTCCAGGATCCCAACCCATGGCTACGGCTTTCATGGATTTTTAGTACCTTTGACATCTGTGCTAGTATTTTAGGAGTGTTTGTAAGAGTTTTTGTAAAATCAGAAATGAGTATTTTTAAATATAAATAAATAAAAATTAATTTTAATTAGAAGTAAGATGTGTTTATAAAATGTATAAAAATATTCTTGAAATTAGTAAAATAATATTTTAGAGATAATTTTTATAAATAATGGTAAAAAAATATTTAGAATTAAAATGACAATTGTACTTTTAATATATATTATATTTTTTATTTATTTTTTTTTCAAATTTTCTAACTTTTTTGGGTTGTTCCCATTGCGCATGGTGGAGATACTACACGCAATGCCCATATGGGGGCTGTTGCTATTGCAACAATCACCACACACCACAAGTAGTGGCCATTTGGGAGCTACTATGTGTAGCCATTGTTACCACTGTCACGTGCAGCAGCCATGTAAGAGTCACTTGCAACAGCCATGTAGGAGTTGCTGTGTATAGCCACAGTCACTACCGCTACACACAGTGGCCATCTAGGTGGCGATGGTTGCTGTTGCCAGTGATAAGAGTGATGGATTTTGAAGAGAGAGAGGAGTAGAGAAGAAAAAGATAAGTGTAATTTAAGAATTGAATAAAATATTTGAAAATAAAATTGTTTTAAAAATATTTTAAAAATAATTTTTTATTTATTTATAATTATGTCATAAAAGTTAAAAAATATCAAAATCTTAATTTTAAAAAATAATTTTTTTATTTTTTTGACTTCAAAAAACTAAATTTAAAAAAACATGTAATAATCCAAACACAGCAAAAACAGTCATACCCTTTGAGAAATGCATAAACACTTCCGGAAGTTGGCGCAAACATCACCTTAATTGGTGTGGACAACTTATGTTTCACGGTCTCAGCATTTGTGCGGTTAATGAACGGTCAAGATTCAAACATCAAAGGATGACACAAACCCATTCGGTGATGTCACGCACTTATACGGCTGCCAGCTATTCCGACGACGACAACAAATAATTGCTTCCAAAACGCTCGCACTATCACACTCTAGCTTTCACTCAAATTATTCCCCCGATAAAACGGCAGGAATTAGAAAGTACCAGTTGAGAGGTTTATTTACCTGTTCCGCGAGCCTATCGACCTCCATGGACACATCGTTGATCCTGCGATGTGCAGTCTGGATTTTTGCATTCCTACGCATCTCGATAGCCCTCCTCACTATGCTCGACGGGTCCTCGATTAGTATGACTTTTGAGCCCTCCTTGACCCCGCAAATGTCCAAATACTCCCCATTTTCTCTCTCCTTCCCTCGGAAAATTATCCTCTGGTCCGCGGGTAACAACCGGGTCTCCGCCGTCAAAAGCTTCTTCAGCTCCCCTGCCAATTTTCAATTGCACCTTCAATAATATCATCAATGACAAAGCCTGCCATGTCAAGTTTCTGGCATGTACTCACTTTAAGCAAGGAAGTAAATTAACTGCGGTACAAGAAAAGTTAACTTTCTTTAGGACAAATTCAATTTTGATCCTTGTAATTTTAATTGTAACACATTGGTCCTTTAATTTTAAAAAGTGTGAAAATTTCATCTCCATTTGGGTTTATAGAGAGAGATCTTGATTTTTTACCCCAAAATTAACACCCTAAGCCTAATTTATTCCCAACTTTTGAAGCACTATTCTCAAAAAAATGGTAAAAAGATTTTTTCTACCATATTCAAAAAACTCAATTATTTGCTCCCGTTTGTAGAAATTAAAATTTCTGTATACAAAAATTAGATTTTCTATTTAAATGTTAATCGAGGATTAAACATGTTATATTATCTAATTGAGTATGTGATGATTGTTTTTTTAAAAAATAAGGGTTATAATCCTGTCAAATAAATAAATAAAAAGTGTTAAAATTGCAAGTAAGGAGGCCAAATAGAATTTGAATATAACCATGGACACCAAAATCAAAATTCTTACGTTTTCTTGAATAATATTTTCTTAATTAATAATAATGCTAATAAAATAATAAAGAAAAAAAGGTGAAGCCGTTGCAACCCCGATTCATCAGTTAGGTGACAAGGATACCAAAGCAAAAAAAACAGATCATGAAAAGTTATTTCATTTTGAAACTTTTTTACCCAAAAAAAAATTATTATTACCATCGAAAACTACTTTCCCAGACAAAAAAATAAGCATCAAACAACTATTTCCTTTTTCGATCAATTTCTCAGAAACCAAACAGAAAACTATGCGGGTGATATAACCACTAGACACAATGGGATACAAAAATTTACTAGAACCGACATGCTTACCAAAAGTCGCCTGAGAACACACGGAAATCTCATACCGGACGGCACCGTAGGCAACCCGGAGCCGCAAAATTGGAGCCGGAGAGTCCGGATTAGCGGCTCTCTTTTGTACCAGCATTCCACCGGGTCTCATCTCCCACTCGATCTTTTCGTCCATGGACGATGTCGTGGCAGTCTCGGTACTCTCGTTCAATCTCTGCCCAAAGTTCAACCTCTTCTTGATCATCTTGTCTCTAACTATACATTCCCGGAAAACTACACAAGTTCCGGGAAAATGTGCGTCCTTAAGCGAGTTACTTTCCCGGAAAATGTATGCTCAGAGGCACCCAGGAACTATGAGACCATTTCTTTCTGCCGACACAAACAAGTTGGGTTGTGTTGTATTATAGCTGTGCCTGTGGGGCACCATCTCTCTCTCTCTCTCCTCTCTCTCTCTCTCTCTAAGGTTATTTATTTAGAAACATATGGGTTTTGTGTAGGATATTGAGTGTATACGTAAAGAAGAGGCTTGTTAGTTTGCTTGGAGCACATGATGGAAAAAAGAGAGTGAGTTGGATTTTGACCAATGGGACTACGCCAACGTGGGACTGTCAGCTGTTGTTTTTGTATTGGACGGGTGAGAGAAGGCTTGCCGACAATCTACGGAACGGAAGCATCCAAGGTACGCAAAAGTGATTTGAGTTGATGTGGGCTGTAATTGGGCCACGTGGATTTGCGTTTTGGATGTTCTAGTTGAATGTGTCTTCCAAATTTAGCCACTAAACTGGTCTGGCTCTAATTCGAGTCTGTGTCGATTACAGAGGATTGGATCGGTGGCCCTTGATTATTCGACTCGCCAAAGAAGAGTTATATTTGACTCTAATCCCACCTGTTTTTATATATACATATACATATATATGTATATGTAAGTATGTATGTATTATGCACGGTAATAATAAAATTTATTTTGTCCAAATTATTAGACTTACAGTGCATGTCCAAATTAATAGATATTTGCTTAATGGGCCGGGTCTACTTCGAGACAGAACTAACATATGTAGCCTGTAGCCTTATTTGTTAATTGATACAATGTCTTCTTTGTATTATAGAAATATGAAATGTGACTGACCATCATGGTGTGGTATTTTAATAACTTTTAATTATTTACATAATTAATTCTAAGTACATTTTTTAAATTGAATTGGCTGTTAAATATAACTGTCATATATCATGGTTTAGATGAAATATATATTTAATATAACAATCATATTATACTAACTTTGTGTCACATCCTAATAACTCTAACATGTGTTAGTTGCAGTCTATATTTTATAAACCTGTAATTTGTTTTTGTTCTTGGATCGGACAGTTTACCTAAAATTTAGGAGAGGTTTCAATTTTAGTGGTTGAGACTTACTAGATTTGGGATGGTTTTCTCCTTCTTTAGAACTTGGAAATTAATAAAACTATTATGGAATCAAACTCCATGTTGACTATGGATTCGATCTCAGGACTTTGGAGTATTAGTTGTTACATTTTCCTTATTTTGATATGAATATAAAAAGTTATTTAATCTTTAGTGATAGATGGATTGTTTACGTTTAATAAGGTACTAATAATTGTACTGATTTTATTGTCAAAATTATCATTTCTTTTGACCTGATTGTAAAGAATGGTCATTCTCTCCCCTTAACATGAAAGTTTTTCTTAGGCTGGATGATTTGGGGACTCTTATATTAGTTGTTTTTGTTCTTTGAGCTTTTGGCCTTAATGTTTTAAAAAAAATGTTTTACATAGAATACTAGAAATATTAAAAGGGAAATAGGAAAAAAGGAAGCTATAAATATCAAATTTTGAAAATAGCTACTTGAAATGAATATGTCATTGGATGATAATGATAATATCTTTCTAGAAAAAAGGTTATAATTAACCCATAAATTGTATTGTTAGTAATTATGGTTTACAAATTCATCACTTCAGTCCCGTCCTACGAGAATGCTCCCATCACCCTCTTTTTCTTTTTCTTTAATGCGGTTCACAAAACAGTATCACTTTAGACCTTTGAACATGCTGGCCAAGAAAACAACATAAAGGAACCAGATTATAACAAATTTGAAACAACAAGGAGAAAATTGAACAAATTGCAACTGTATAAACTAATTGACATAACCTATAAAATCTAAGGATCGATAACATAATTTAGCAATTGGAGAAATGATGATATCTTAGCGTTAATATGTCGGTGAGCAGTCCAAAAAGTATTTATGGGATTCTTAGAGGGCGGGGTTTACTTAAAGATGGTTTATTTGTCAAATTTAAATAGTTAGTCACTTATTCTACAGTTTAATGACAAATAAATTGACACTTTAAATGAAACAAAATTAAATGTCCCTTTTTGCTAAATTATCACCTAATATACTTGCCTTTAATTTATCTTTTCTTAAAAAATTTCTAAATTACTAGAATATGTATTTCAAATGAAATTTATATAATTTATTTGTGAAAAATTTTATTTAAAAAAACTAAAATATTGTCACTTTTTGTTTCTCCTCCTCTCTCTGTCTCTCTCTCATTTTTTTTTTCTCTAGCACTTTTTCTCTCAAACTCCAACCTAAGATCTTCTCTCTCTCTAAGACCTATTTTATCTCTCTCTGCATCATACATCTTGCAATTTTCTTCTTTGCTCTCTCCTATACTGGAGCAGCCCTTTGATCTCTTCCCTTTGCTAAGTTCTATCTTTCTTTTTCTATTTTTTTACTACTTGACAAGACGCAATAAGCAGGACTCCATTAGACTCCTTCAATCAACAAAATTAGTCGCCTGATGATTCATGCAAACTTAAGCCTAACTCTTTGTCTCCCTGTCTGTCTCTTTCTCCCTCTTGCCTTGGCTGCTTGAAGCTTTAGATGGCTGCCGGCTCACCGGCATTGCACCGGAATAGTTAGTGGATAGCCGATGGATATTGGCTACCTGCTGGAGTAGTTTAGAAAAGAGGAAAAAAGAGAGAGAGAAGGGATAATCTACGAATTAAGAGAAATAATTGAGGGCTATTTAATTGCAGAATGCTAGTGAAATTAATTAAAGGCACCTATCTCCAAACTTCAGAAAATAATTTCAACTTCTATTTGTATCAATTATAAAATTTAGATATAAAATTAAAATCTAATTTACATTATAGACATCATATAAGTGTAATTCTTGTGTTGAAAAGTGAAATTGTAATTGTTAGAAGTTTTTGCAAACACCATCTGTCACACCCCACTCCGTAACTCAAGTAAAGCGTGACAGTAGAACATGGTTTAACCACCTCCGATACCCGGGATTCACCGGAGAAAGTCAAACCTTATTCAACTATCGTACCTCCTGAGTTAAACGTACAACTCATACAAAAAAAAATTATTTAACAAGACATTACAAAAAACTAAGATATTACTATAACAGAAAATATAATTATCTTATATAACACTTCGTTCTATCATAAGATTTTCATACAGACCCACTAGCTAACTTTTACTCACAACAACAACCCAAACTAGTTGCTATTGACAAGAGTGGACCCAACCTTACTAAAATGCAAGTAGTGGATATGCTGGGATGCACATGGTATAGCTATAGTCTTCTATTGCTGGAACCTGAAAAAAATTAAATGAGTGGTGAGACCTTCGTCCATAAATGGTCTTATCACTAAAAACAGTGAAATAGAATATTTCGCATAATACTATAATTAAAAAGTAATTCATAAAACTAGTATAACTGATATAAAATATCATATCGTGATATATTAATTCACTAATCATAATTTAAAATTAAAGCAAATTCACCCGTTGAGCATCCAGATCCACCCATAGTAAAATATCCTTATATGGCTAAGGATGGAAGCAAAAACATAACGGCTCCATCAATAAACATAAGATTTGACGTGCACGTAGACATAAATAAAACATAATAAAAACCACTTGGTGCTACTGCTCATGAGACTCGTTCCATAGGACACCACCCCTATAGACGAACACACATAACTTGTTGGTGTCGTAAGGCCCCACCGAGCAAATAAAACATGTAGTACTACCACACTAACGTGGTTACCCAGCGAATTATCCAGGTGCATTGCAAACATTCACATATATAACATACGGCATAAAAATGAGATTCCTGTTTCTTTTTCACATAGCAAAATAATCATAACATAAATAATAAAACATTTCAAAATAAAACCTTTTGATTTTAAATAAAACATTTATTAGTAAGACATTATTAGTTTTACTATTTTAGGAAAATCCTAAATTTAGGAAAAAGACCACTCACCTCTGCTGATATTGTGTGTGTCCAGACTCAATCCTGTTGGTCTCACTGACTGACGGCCGTTTACTTGTCCTAAAGTGTAACCACATACGCTATCAATAACACGCCAAAATGATGCATGGATGCATGAATATGCTAGTGTATACATGAGATGTACTCCTAATTAGGTTGTTTTCACCATTTTTATTTGGGGTCAAAGTTTCTACTACATACGTATTCCAAAAATTCTCAAAATATTATTTTATAATTATTGTCAAGTTAGGTATACTAAGTATGCTCACGTTCACAAAAGGAGTTATAATTATTTTTTTATGAAAAATAATCCGTAGGTGTGTTAGCAAAATTATAGACTAGAGTTCCGATGGATTTTAGTGTCAATTTAGTCTTGTTTTTACTAATCTAATTTGGTCACCTTCTTAGCAAAATTTAACATGAATTAATAGAAATTTAATCTAAACTAATAGAAATTATTCATAAATTTTTCATCATAAAAACAACAATTAATACAAAATCTGAACCGATTAAAAAGATCTAAATTGCAACTAGATTAGAAATAACTAAAAAAATTTAACCTAATCCTCGCCTGAACTGATTTCCGTCGCCTGCACCTTCCCTTCCGTTCGTCTTCTCTCGCTCGCCTCCTTCTCTCTTTCTTCCTCTTCTCTCTTTCCTTTTTCTTATTCTCTTTCCTTTTCTTTCCTTTTCCTTTCTTTTCATTTTCTTTATTTCCTTTCCTTTCTTCTTCACCGTCCTTTCTCTTCTTACTTTCCGAAAAAAACACCAAAGGTGGCCCCACTCCTCCTCATCTCTTTCTTCTTCTTTTTTATTTATTTTATTATTATTTTATTTTATTTATTATTATTATTATTTTTTTAATTGCTAACCCTTCTTACCCACAAATATTTAGGGCTTTTTAAACTAAATTTAAATAACTGATAATATCACTAATTATATTAATACAAAATAAAATACATGGTAAGGGTTTTGGGTTGGAATGTTACACCATCGGAGGCATATTTTTTTGAACTTGTTTGCTTAGTATAGTAGTTTAACGTTGTTGGTCTCCTTCGTAACAGAGGCAAATTTATATGAATATTAATAATGTTTTTGCTAAAATAAGTTTTTGAT